GGCGAGATTTACAGAGACGGAGGGAAGCAATATGGCGACGTACCGAATATGCGTCGACCGTAAGGAGAATCTCAAATGCTAGCTTTCTCACCTCGATATTCAGATTCAAATCTGCGAGCAGACAATCCAAAGAGGATCAGAATCGCAAGGAAGCAAGAGTTTGAAGAATCAAGGATTATCTTTACATGACGAAACAGAGAATAATAAAATCACTATCGAATTCAATTGACATTTGATCTACGTTTAGAATTTAGACTTAGACGGAAAGCAACCCTCCTAAAGGATTAAACATTACTTATCATTTCAGAGGATGGCTATGTTTTTTTTTCCATTAATTAGGATTCAAAAAGACATCATAAAAATTTCTTCTACGATTCGTTCCTCTGGGAGGCAAATTCACACAGCGTTCACAGAATAAATAATTTTTGTATTTATTTACGCATCTTCATCAATATTTATATTCTCAAAAATAAGTAATTATGCAGACAAGCGACATAAAATTCATTTAGTTCTTCAGTTTTAATTTAAACCATCTCAACAATTTGTGTACCTAAATCTTTAAATATTGTACTTCAGCAAAACTGTTCTTTTCGTATTTTATGATGATCAAATTGATTAATTAGGGGAAACCGGAAGTTGTTACACGGGATAAGTTTTTACAGTTAGTTTTTTTAGTTGCCATAAGGGGCAGCACATTTTTATGAATTTTCATATGTGATTCTTATTGTATTCTACAACTTCACTTAGTTTAGTCGCCATATTTAAATTTTAGAAGACACTATGTATATTTTCTTCATTTTCACTATTAAAAATAAATATTTCATTGTATAAATTGCTTGTGTGTGTATATTAATACGGAAAAAATTGCTAATCAAAAATTGTAACAACTTAGTCTTCTCTACTTTGTTTTTATTTATCTCAACAATAAAATAGCTTAATTTCAACTCAATAATAGCGTGATTATACGTAAAGTAAATTCGTGAATAGCAGGGACAGAGAGAGAGAGAGAGAGAGAGAGAAAGAGAAAGAGAAAGAGAGAGAGAGAGAGAGAGAGAAAGAGAGTGGCTTAGGTAAAATTAACAAGCGAGAATCACTTCACTTTCGGGAGTAAAGTACGTGTAGGTATATCGTCGATATAATTATACGTATTTTGATGGGGCACTAAGCATAAAGTACTGCAAGTACGTGCACCCTCCTACTTCCTCCTCTCCTTTCATGCTCTTTCCTTCCTTGGATAAAGCACGATGGAAGAGAAATTGGTCTCGTTGGAACCATAGAACGACAAGGCGGTACAAAGGCCGTGTTAGCTTGGCGACTTTCTCGAGTACCACTCGTGCACACGTTTTCCACTCCAGCTTCACTCAACCCCAAAGCTGAGTTCCACCGAGATAGGGCAGTCATCAACGCACGTTTTATTCCAAATCCGATATATCTTTCGCAGAAGGCTAACACCGCGACACGTAATAGTAATTTCGTGTCCGCAGCTTCTCCCTTAATGTATTCGTTAATGAGTTAAGTTCGTCAAAATAGAAATAAAATTAAAATATCTAACCAAATTTTCAACCAACATTTGCATCACCCTGAGAGACTAAGCGTGATGACGGTTGACATAATCGCGTTGCTTTGATTATTATGTAAATATCTACACATTTATTCTGTGTTAGAGAACATAATTATTACTACAATTTTTTTACTGAAAAATGAAAAGATCTGTTACTAGTCTTTTATTATACACGATGACATAGTTTTTGATTTTGATTCAATTGACTATTCTATATAAATTAATGTAAATGGAAAAATAACTTCTCATCACTAGTGAATTAATTATAGTAATTATTTAATCATAAATTGATATTTAATTGTATTAGGTGTTGGAATTAATTCGTAGCGTTTTACAAGTGATGGGAAGTACTTTCATTAATGTATTTTTTAATGCTCATGTGAAATAAATAACATTCTTTCATTAAAAACGCTACGAATTAATTCCAACACCTAATACAATATAGTAATTGTAGAATAGTAGGATAGTCGTTGAAGAAGATTAGATTATCGTTTTTTTTTTATGAAAATGTTAACTAAATTGATTCTCAATGTGACAACCGAAAAACTAGTCAAATACAATTTTACAATTATGGATTTTCAAACTTCAGACTAGATACCTATTTCGTTTCGTAATATCTTAACGCAGGAAATAGTATATAAGATTAGCTTAGAACAATAATTTTTATTATGTATCATATGTAAATTCGTTGACATTATAAGGAGTTATATAAATATGTTTTCTTTATTATCACAGAAGACTTTAAATTTTATAGCATTATATGTACGTAATTAAAGACGAATTTTATTAGTTAACTACAATTGCTCATTTATAAAAAGTCTTGACATTTTAATTTAGAATTTGTCAAGTTAATAAATTTTAACACTAAAATGCGAAGCTTCTATAAAGAGAGAAATTTGTAACGCAAAATATGTATTAAATATGTACTAAAAATGTTATATTGTTTAATTAATTTTTTGAGATAGGTAATTAAAAAATTTCATTTCTCAAGATAGCAAGACTACCGCAATTGCGGTAATTACGGTATTTATGAACTAAGCTTTTGCTTTAATGGGTTAATGCCTATCTACTAAGAAAACGCTGAGGAAATCTAGTGCTACTTATCGTGTTTATCTGAAGAGATACGAAGTGCTTTTCTCAAACAGTGATAAAAAGATTAACCTATTTTCACATTGGAAAGAGGACATGGATAAAGAAGATATGTCACATTCTTGAAGAAGTTAGTTGAAGAAGGGAGTTATACCATATTAAGACTATGTATATAGATAATAGCATATTTTAAGTACGAAAGTTAAATTAAATGTAATATTTAACCAAATAAAAAATTATGAAAAAATTACAGATTTTTCCATATTATATTTAAAAATAATACAAAAAGTTTCACAGTGAAAAAAACTTGGATAAAAATTATTTCAATAAGAAACATGTTTTTACAAAATAATTAAAATAAAATGAGAAAATTTTTATTTAAATTATAAAAATTCATTATAAAATATTGACCTTATTATGTGAACCGTTTTATATGAACATTTATTTTTATATAGAAAGTAAATTTAAATTTTTAATTCCAGTCCAATTTTCTGTAAAAACTATGCACATTTAATATATCTTTAAAAACATAAGAAATCCAAAATCATAATAATATATTAAATATTCTAGCTCGAACTATTTAGGTTATAAGAAATTTAAAAGCTATTTATCTTATGAAAAAATACTTAAGCGAAAGTTAAATAAAGCCAATGTTTATTTATCAATTAAATAAATCTTTATTCAAAGATTGTTATTTATTTAAAATAATTACATTCATAATGTATAAATATTAATTATTGTAATTTAAAACCAAATAGCTGCAGTATTTTTTGAATGAAGATTGGCTTTTATTAATTAAATTAATTGATAATCGTCGGCTTTATTTAATTTTTCCTTCAGGTGCCTGAGATTCCTCCATTCTCCCTCCTCTATAATATTATATTTTCCATAATTTTTTTTCATATCGGTTTCAATAATCAACATGAAACGTAGGGAAACACTGAAATCGATCCAGTAGATAGGATTTTGGAATCGAAATCGTGTTGCATCGTGGAAATGCAATGGAAAAAAATTTTCGGCTCATGGCGGACGTATCACAGCGTGAAACAGACGCGCTGACGCATCGGGATGGTGCGGTTTTGCGAGTGATACCTCATAGTAGCTATGCCGAAAGCCCCGCCGGTCAATTCGATTTAGAATTCTTGCAGATATTTCCATACGCTCGTAAATAGCCCGGCGACGCGAGTTTTAACCCACTCAGGCCAACAGTATTGTAAAATGGTGAATACGCGCATCGAGGGGGCGACCGACCGACCGACTGGTCACGGCGAAATGAATATATGCGGACGCAGCGAATGAATTTATAACGCGCACGCGAAAACTGAACCTGCCGTTCCTTCCACCATGACGCCGCACCGGCCGGCCCCGTAAATCGATGGCAGCTGTTTTACGCAGTTGACCGTGTGGAAAAGCTCGTTGCAGAGCCGAATGCACCCGCATAATCGCGAGCCCGCGCGAGATGGAACGGTCGATCCAATCCCTCTTTTTTCCTAGTGATATTTCATGTTTCGTTTGCTGTAGCCAGAAAAATCTGAGGAAAGTTTCCATTCAATGCCAGATATTTTCATTCTCCCGAAGAATTACTTTGCCTGCGGCGTTAAAGAATTATTCTCGACTTTAAATATGAGAATCATCCACGCTAAATTATATATACATCATGGGATGTAGAGAATAGGAGGTCGAATTTATATGGATGAGGCCAAAAAGTGTGGTCAAAAGTGGTCATCTGAATTAGTTCGATCGAGATGTCGCTTTCATTTTCCACGACAGCGTTCTCGCAGTTTGCATGATAGATCATATCAATTTTACATGAAAAATGCTCCATTCTTCATGTAGTTTTAATGACAATTTATGTCTTCCTGTTATCTATCAGAACATGATATCAAAGAATAACGTTTCTGTTTTTAGGTTATGTGTGCGTAAGTGAGAGGAGTTTTGCGATTCGAACACGTCTACCGAGCACCACCAATACCAATTCAGAAACCTAATTTTGATCATACTTTTTAAAGCCTAGTTCGGTCTTCTGTTCTCTATCCTCGATGATCGCAATCTTAGATTTCTTTAATTTAACAGCGTATCACAAACGAATGAGTTAAAGTTACTTGACGTATCCGGACGTATCACAGATTGACTATATTTTTGGTATCAATACCGACAACTTTCACAGCAATACTACTCTTCATGGTGGAATTAAAAAGGTGACCCATCGCGCACAATGGCGGAGGACCCCCAATCAGAAATTGGGTTCATTTGCAGCATAAATGAGTCATGTGAATTTCTGCAAATAAGCTCAAAACTTGATTGACAGATCTATGCTACTCCTATTCCTATAACGATTGCATCTTTTTACCTTCAGCCTGATGAGGAGCATAGATGTTGAGATACAGACAGTCCTCGCTCTGGTTCCTCAAGTACGGCAAGTGTCTCTCCAGGTACTCGTACCTGCCTGGCTTTACTTCCTCTCGAAGATTTGGCAAGACTTGCGGGCAAACTGGAGCGAATTCCTGCGATTGTCTCACTCCTCTCCACGGTTGCGGTGAGCGTGGCGGAGAAAATCTGAAGGATCCCACGGGAGGCTCCGCGTAAGGAACTCCTAAAACACAAGGGAGAATCTTGCTTTTAGATTCATGGCGTGATGCTAAAGTATAATACAATAACTGACGTTTCTATTAGAGGATAAATGTATTTTCGAAGAAATAAACAATTTACCGAATTGTTAATATAAGAGCATTTAACGTATTTTTGAAAAAGGATCCCATTTGTGCCACGCTAGTAACTTCATTTCTAATTAAGCTAAATATCATCGTTCCTCCGAAATATCAGTTGAAATCAAATTACAATTAAACTCCAATTTAATTTTATTTAACACAATTAAACATCACATTTGATTAAAATTTTGTTCTCCATTCTCGATTTTAAATTTAATAAAATTTTGTAATCAATATTCTTCTTAATTCTTCTATCGATTCTCTTTAATTGAATTATCCTTACAAGCCAGGTGACCAAGACTTAAGACTTAAGGAAGAAGCGATTCAAATGTGTAAATGAATATCGAGAAGGAACGATATATGTATACTCGGTTTTGGTTACGCTGTGATGCACACTCGGATGCAATTCAACGCGTGTCAGTGCAAGTTGACGGACGCGCAACGCGAGTCAAGCAAAGACGGAGAAAGCCGAAGGGGTAGAGAAGTACGGCGATGGCAGTAATATCTGTTCCCGAAATACACGGACGCGCGAGCGCACGCTCCTCGTTTTGGATCCTTTGACGTATCGGGACTCTCAAAGCGCGGATATGCAGCTGCCAGGAAACTTTTGCTCACTGACCGGAGCCGAGTTTCCTCAGAATATCGAACGTTATCGAGATATCGTTGTAGTAGATCGTTGCATATGAAACGACGGCTTTGCGTCAACCAGCTTAGCGTCTCCATCGAATTAAATGTATCGATATACATAGATGGTTTCAGGTAGTTTCCACGCGTCTTTTCTCCGAAAATTAGATCTGGAAACGTATATTTTTAACATTAACTACCACGCAACAGGAAAGATTCAATACTGGAATTCTTTGCGTGGAAAGGTTAAGTCATGGCTTCTCTTGTGAAGCCATGAACCGATATTTGAGGAAAGCTTAGCTTGACTTGCTGTTATTACATATGTGAACATTTAGTTACAACTTAACTCTGACAAAATGGTTTATATTTAATATTTCTTTAAAAGTAAGCTACAACTAAAATCATTTATATTTGTTTTTCAACAACATTTTATTATTTGATCATTACAAAATAACTTTAAATGTTACAATCTTTGTCAAAAAGTACATGTCTGTTTTTTCGATCTGTTCTTCATTTCAATTACACTTTCATTAATTTAATACGGAGTTTAATAGCTTACTATCAAAGCAAATTAGTTACTGCAACATATTTGACTAACCACAAAAAATTAGAATTTACAGAACCGTCCTGGAATGAAAATATAGAGAAAGATTCTCTCTATTATATTAATACATTTTAATCATAATAATTAGTTGCTTAAAAAGTTTAATGTGAAAACTGTGCCAACACACTCCGATTTTCTCTACATTTAGTAATTAAATTATTTAATTACGTTTCCGCTAAAAACTGTCATAGTAAAATGAAGTGAGATGCATTAATTGTTGAAAAAGAAATCCAGAAATCAAACTGTTGATCGTCAAAATACAAATTTATGATAGAAATTGAGGAAGCAGAAGTTAATATAGTCAATTGTAAGGATGATAAATGCATCTCACTGATGTTTTGCCTTAGATATAAACTATGACAACAATTTTCTTTGTAATTAAACATAATGGCACTTTAAAACTTACCAAGAAAGACGTCAACCAGCTGCAAATTGTAATTAGTTCTGGGTTGAATCACCATGCCACGTAATCGGCCTTCTTTGACTCGAACTTCCCTCGTTATTCTTTCCTGAAGGTCATGAAACCGATGATGGTAGCCATATTGATCCCGTGATTCACGATGATCGCGATGCTCCGTAAGAATTTGCGTGCAGGCCAACAATAGAAGGCCCACTAATTCTATTCGCAACATTTTGGACATCTGCCTCGCGTTCGTTGATTCCACAACACAAAGTTCAATGCTTTAAGAATTGTCAGTATAGTAATAATTCAATATTCACGAAGCACTCTGTTCAAATTAATCACCAAATTTATTGCAATTCTTGGAAAAACTTAGCTATAAATTATTTTCGCAAAGTAACACACTATGTGATATTTCAAAGTCTTATGGGAAAATTATTACAGAAATTGTAGAGAATATTGTAGAGTGTAATCTTTAAAAAGCTCACAATGATAAGTTCAAAGCAACACGCGACAACTATGACGAAGCACACACACTCGCGATCGAAGTAAAAATAATTTTTCCGGCTGCCGACAGAACCGGATACGGGGAGAACGACTGCTCTTTCGGTCGTCGTTGGAACTTTTCACTTCGTAGCTTCCGCTGCTGCACGCAGATCGAGAAGTTACTTTCCTACACGTGCGGAGTTCACATTTTTGTAATTATTGATAAATTTCCAAATGCCACTTGATTTTATCCGAGTTAAAATTTATTGCAAGGTTCAACATAATGTATTTTCGAACTTTCAGCCATTCCCAATCGGCTGGGACTTATTCATCAAATAAATATGTGCTTCATATTTGACACAGCTAACGTGTATTCTGCTCGCTGGTTTTAAATCAAATTTTCTGTTATTGAGATTAACTCTTTGAAACTAGATTTAAAATTTGTATTAGCTACGTTAAATAATTGCAATATTTCAATGAAAATTTGATTAATCCTTTAGGGTCTAATGACACACATTCATATATGCACCAGTGTTTCTACAAAAACTTTCAGTTTAACAAGGGCTTTTTATAAAACAATTGTTTAAACTTTAATTGAAAAATGTTATAATGAATACAATTATAGAATATAAAAAATTATTTACGTAGCAGAGTTCTTGAACTAACCATGTAAGGTTCGACATGATTGTATTATTTTCATATGAGATTATTCAAATATAATTGATAATATAAATAACGTATAAATGCGCGGAATTTTCAAGACTTTCGTTTTTCAATGATAGGAATTAATTGATGTTTTCTTTTCAATATTTCGATTTAATTTTTACATTCAATGATCCTTCAAACCCTTAAAAATAACTAGACTAGATTACATGTCCTATTATCAAATAAAACAGACCTTAAAAAATTAATATACCATAATTAGTTGTCACATAATTCTTCCATTATTATACAAACTCGAAAGAATGAAGTTCAACGTATCCATATTCACGAGCTTACGAGCAATGGTATTTTCAATAATCTTATTTGAAATGTCTTGTGACTGTTTTAGTAGACACACATTCCTTGACTGCATTTAAGCGCAGGAATGGTACCGAGAGAAAACGAGCTCGTGCTGATGGCGATCGAAAGGCACGGGAGAGCGTGGAGTTTACCAACAGGCGACGCGTTCTATTTGAGGCGAAGAGTACGTGCAGTCGCGCGAGCCGTCGCTCTCTCTTCATACGTGCGTTCACCCTTGTTTGTCCCGCCAAGAATATCGCCTCTGGAGGACACCGCCGCACATTGCCGCGTTTAAACCTTTCAACTTGCAATGTTACCCGTCAAAAACTCCAACCGCCGCACCGTCGAAATTGTTAAACGAAGTTGATCGAAATCAATTTATGCAAAATTACTACTTCTCCGAAATTTTTCTACGTTATCGCGATGTCGTATTAACATATTTTGTAGAAATGTTTCTGTTAGGAGTATTTTATGAAGGTCGTAAGGAAAAAAATCCTGCACGTCGCGATATTCTTACATGGGCATGAAACGACGACGTAAAAACTTCATAACCCAGCGAATTACACATTTATATTGCGCGACAAGTCGCGTTCGCGCAAATTCGATCGCATGACGGGCCAAGTGCTCATTTCCCAGTATCGCGATAATAGTTTGCTCGCAGTTTTGCGATATACATGAACGTCTCGTAATTTACGTCGGATAAATGACATCGAGTTTGAAACTAATCTGGGAAAACGCAAGAGGCAGAAAGAGAGAAAGACAGAGAAAGAAAGGGAGGGAGAGAGAGAGAGAGAGAGCCAACTAAATCCGATATTTGTGACATTTACGGTGAGCAAACTTTTGAAGACTTGAACACACCACACGATTTTCAGACCATACCAGTTCTACTTGTCAAACTATAAGTGTAGTTTGCGACACTAGTTTCCAAGTTTTTTGAATCCCTTTTAACGTAATATTTCCCACTATAAATAACTAGACCTATGAAGAACTGTTCTAAGTTAACGTTTTAATAACTTTTAAATAAATAATGCTGCTATTAAATACCTAAAAAATACTTAAAGGAGATAAAAGAAATGATGCAGCAAGAAAATGTATAGTTATTGACTTATTTGGACATAATTGAAACAATCCTAAAATTTGGAAAAATTCTTAATAGGACAAATTGTTTCTAATAATCTATCATTTTAATTCTATAATCGCATAGAAAGTCCATTAAAAAAACACAAAGATTTTGAGTACGTAGCACACAATTCTGAGAACACAGTAAAGGAGAAGATATTATGAAAGTTTCCTAGACATTTGCGAGAAGTATCACACTTGTAAAAAGCCCTCAATGTTATTTTTAACGTTGACGATGACAACTGGAGCCTCCTCGACGAGCGAATCCGAATTGTACATTTTCGCATCGAAGAGCACTTCTAAGGCGAGAACTCACAACAACTACCGTTATTGTACGCTCGATATGTTGCTACTGCGCGCGTGAATGTTACTTTCTATTTTTCTATTTATACTCCCGTCAAATAGAAAAACATTTGTGAGATAAGTATTTTTCATCTTTGTAATAAATTTTCCCTCTTTCTAAAAAAAAAAATGTATTAATAATTTTAATTATAGAGCGGAAGTTGTACAATATTTTTACACAATGTATCAAATGTATTATTTCTATAAACAACTTTTTATGTCATATTTCTTTGTTTACAACTTTGTTTAAACATTGTATTTTTAATTAGTATATTTTAGGAAAGTCCAGTTTATTTATATCCTGCAACAGTAAAGTTCGAAATAAAATATTTTTGACAAATTTTTATATTTTCTGGCGTTGTTAAGGGATTAAGGATTGAACGAGCCAGCCTAAGCGATTATTGCAGCAAATCCTATTTTGCCGACCGCTTGTGGCGGATAAGCTTATAGGAATTCACCGCATCCATCATTAATACTTCTTTTTACTTTCGTCGATGTTTATGATAGATTTTCGAGAGGTGAGAAAATCTCTTTCGCCACGTTATCACGCTCCGTTATCATCCCACCATTGTATTTCTCGTTCGAAAAAAAATTCTATTTGACAAATTTTGTAAAAAGTTTTCCCTCGGCAAAAATGTAAAAAAAAATCAAAAATTGCGACAAATTGTTACGGCGTTGCGTTGTACAATTTCTATTTTTAGAGATTCTCGGGTCGCAAAATGGTCCAAGACTAAATTTTTTTTACCCCTTTTCGCATGTCCAACAAAAGATTTTCCAGCACAGCAACAATAAATTTCACTTCCTTTCACATATTGTTGATTCACACGTATCTCTTTTGGTAACAATAATAAATTTCATTTCAGTAATTACACTTCAAAAATATTATTTCAATCGTACCATCGAAAATTGGATAGTGAAAAAGCGTCGCAAAAATTTAAGTTTAATATTGTCGATTGTTGGATAATCGAACGCACTTATGTTTTTTTTCTTTTGCGAAAGAACACGTCGAAAACTCGTTTAGTCACGACGAATCTTACGAGTGGACTGAACCGGCGTGTACGCGAAAAGCGCTTCTAAAATTAAATCGCAGATGAATCTTCGAACGCGCGCGAAGCGCCGCCAAGGCGAGGCGAATTTTAAGCGGAAGCTTTCATTTTCGTCAAAGTTTCAAGTCGTCCCCGTTTGAAATCTGTTCGCATATGCACGTCGATAGCTGTCTAGAAGTGGAAAAGCATCGAGGGAGAAGGATACTTTTATTCCGGATGCTTGTTTGCCCATTGATCCGCAAGAATGCGAATCGCGAAAAGCACGAACTTTTATCTTTATATAGAAAGATATAACCTAAAAGATATAGGTAACTTTGAGAACAAGTTGTAAATAATCTCGATATTGTATACGTTTATCTCCTGATAAATGTTGTTGTCGTACGAAAAAAACATTAAAACTGAAATTAAACACATACAAGATCAATCTGGCAAAAGATTTTAGTTGATTTAATAAGATTCTTTTAACAAGTTTCTTATGTTTCTGAAATAAAAATTAATTTTATAAAAAGTTTACATTTTTTAATGTTATATATTAAATGTTGAACTATTTTATTATTTAATTAGATTTGACACCATTAGTGGTCAATAATAAATATTCAATATTAGTGAAATTATCGTAATTCTTTTAATATTAGATTAGGGAAAAAAGTCCTTTTGCAAGTTGGTAAAAAGATCTTTCTCCATCAATATCTTTGTTAAAAATGATCAAAACTTCAATTTAAAAAAAAAAACGTTTTTTTGAAGCTTGAAATCTCTATTTTCGAATGGTTACTATATTTTTTGGATTTATATGAGTTTTGTAATTTTTCTATATAGAAAACGAGCTGAAAAAAATAAAAAATTTTCTTTTCACTTTGTAGGGCACCCAAAAAAAAAATTTGAGCAAATTTTCGACTTTCTACTATAAAAGATTTGAGTTACTCGCGAATTAAGTAAAAAGGGAACATTCTGACTTTATTGCTTGTAACTCCGTTAAAAATCTTCGTATCACAATTAAAAATACAGATTCTTAAAGCTGAAAACGTTGAATTATATTGCTCTATCAAGCAATATAATTGCCAGTTTAAAAAAATAGAATGTATAGGTTGCTGAAAGTCTTTTTATCATCTTGTAAAGGGACTTTTTCCCTAACCCAATATATAAATAATTATTACCGCAGTTCAAGTTGAATTTAAAGTTGAAATAATAAATTTGGTTCGGGTTGAGAGTAAAACTATGATTTAGTTTTTATTCAATTGAACCATGATTTAGTTAAATCATTTTTTTTCCAAATTTAAATTGTAACTTGCTATTAAGCTGAATGAATCTACTTCAATCCATAATAATTCGAGGTTTCCCAGTAAATGCGAAACTCAGAGGAAGTCGCCGGTGAGCTTAATGCACGTAAGGGGTTCGCGAAATTAGTTTTGTATCAGAATTATCTGCTTCGCGTCTACGCACATGTATTCACAGCGTATTCACAGAACGTAACGACGTGTTAAATCTACGATAAGAAGACTTTGAGGCGATCCCCTCGAGGCGCGAATGGCTGGTTCCATGATGAGTAGCTCCTCTTCAGAATCATCTCATTTACGTTAATGAACTTAGCTCATCTGCCAGACAAAGAGGATGAGAGAAGAGTAGATGCTATCTAGGAACATTGTCTAGAAATGAATTTTACAACTAGAAGTTTAGCTCTTTAGAGTTCAGAAAGTTTAGAAAAGCGAGAGAAAGGGAAGAGAGGCATACAATTTTTTTAGATTCGTGATACATAACTTAAAATTTTATTTCTACATTTATTTCTACGTTTATAATTAATTGCTCCTTCTCTCTTCTACTTCTGTGTCACATAAAATCTTCCTTTGTAGATTATCAGATTCTGCCAAAATATGTATAATCAGACGTATAGGCCGCCAAAATACAATTTTATCCGTTCGTCTTTCAGCTTTATAACATGAGGATTTGGCACTACGGCGCCCTCAAAGCTGTTTCATAAGTTTCATATATATTATTCAGAATAAGCCGAATCTCAGGCGTACTTATTTTGCCGGCCAAGTTGATAGCAAGAAGGATCATAAGGATCCTCGCTATATTCGTCGTTCCATAATGCACAACAGGGCGATGTTTTCGTAACAGGATTATACTGGAACGACGAAACGTCATATCCTTTTCTCCAGCGAAAAAAAATGAAATTTTTCTCTTTAATGCTTTTCATTATATTTATTGGCTTTAATTTAAATAGTATGTACTAATTATACGTGTTTCTATAATGCATGCACATATTTTTCTATTTTTTATTATTATAATCATTATATATATTTTTTACATATTTATCTAAGTTTTATTTACTCTTTTCAGTTTATTAATTTTTCGATACTACATGTTAGTTATCTTTCTGTAATTTTAAATAAATCTTACTTCTGTTTCGTTTAAAATTATTATGATATCGAAAAATTATAATCAATATATTATCGCCATTAAATTAAATTTATTTGCCTTTTTCTGAGTGTGAATTTATTTTTTTAACAATTTGATTTCTGGAACTGCGCTTATTTTTTGTTTATAATTTATTCCCTTTTCGCGCGAAAACGCAAGAAGAGAGTATGCCTTTTTTAGAAAGTAGATATTTTTTTTGCTTAAAAAGAATGTTGTAAATATACACAGAGGCGTGATATTTGTAAAAGTAGAGGTTCATTTATGTTGTATCTCTTTTGTCTCGAGAATGGGAAGTCGTTTGAACATAAAACTGGCTGCTTCCGTGGATATGGTGGAATTCTCTACGGGGAAATGGTTATTGGTTGAAATCTATGGCGAAATCTATACGTTGGTACATCGGCTACGTTGTAACGACTCGGCTTTCCTTGTCGAAAGAGAGTTTCAGATACTACGCAACTTTTCTTAAATTACACATGTTATTGCCAATGCTGCCGTTTTCATTTATACGCTCCGTTCTTTAACGCGCCTATAATTCTCGCATTACAATTTTCAATTATCTCAAAACATGCAGGCTCTCTTCCTCCAATTGTCATTTTCGAAGTTGTTGAGTTTCCAATTTGATGTTGATCCTATATACTATCCACTTCTCAAGCGTTTCAATCCCCGGGGATTTAATTCCCTTGGGAATTAGAGGATAAATTCTGCTATTTCTAGATCCTTTTTCTCGCGCGGTACGTGTATTACAAGACGGTTTTGCGATCGAAGCGCGATTTATTACAGCGATACCGGCCGCACACTGCGTGATTCGCGCAGATTTAGCGGCGCCTGTAGCCGAGAGTGCTCGAGATTTATCATCACCACGTATAGAGGAGCCTTCCGACACGGCTGCCTACCTCGCGGGTGGTCCCGCGTTGTGATAAATCAAAGGGTGGACGCTAAGGGCGCGCTACATGTCGCCGGAAACGACTGGTGAAAGCCTAGTAAGATTGTCTTTCTCTCGTATTAAATGCTATCGGTAATCTTGGCAGGTTCCAATCAATATTTAATTATCTTTCGAAATTGAATTATTTTACTTTCTATGGATATCGATATTTGAAAAATAGCATCAAGTAAAGAACTAACGAATAGAACGATTTTTTGTAAATTTTATTTTATCATAATATTTGTTGGGGAATTATTGGGATTTATTCGGGATTGGTAACATTTTGATGTGTACAACTGTGAAAACTTTTAAAGTAAAGTCCACTATGTCATTCGACAGATTATAAAGTTCTAGTACATTTAACAACTACGAATCAAGAATTGATTTAGGCATTCGCAAAAATAATTCGCATTTTTTAAATATGCGATTGTATGTCACATATAAAATTAGTTAGATCCATAAGTTTGTCTTTTAAATATATTATTAAGATCTGTATACATATTTAATGTTTAGTTTTCACGAATATTATTAAATATTTAAAAAACTAAAAAAGAAAAGGTTTAGAGGCTTAATTTGGAAAATCAAGAATCTTGGAAAAGAGCTGAAAAAAACAAGAAGTCCACAATATTTATAAAAATCTATCCATGTATAACAAAATTAAAAGAGAAACTGTAAACGTAGAAATGCGAGAATACGAGGATCTAAGAATTAATTATCTCTATCAATCTTCACTTCTTGTTAGTGTGAAGTTCTTGTTTAATTATCACAGGCAGCAAGTGATACTTATCGAACACTGTTCCGTACTTGTATTCGGCATCCAGTGAGTAAAAGTATCGCTGGCCAATTAAATCGAAGCGTCGCCGATCGGTTCTCGGTGTCGTTCCCGGCGAAATTCTTTACCCGGTTGTATTTCTTGCTGAAAAGGCGCGCTTCCTTTTTCCTTTCCGCGCGATTACTTGCGCGAGAAGTTGGCCGATAGAAGAAGAAGCGCGTCCCTTCAATTTGGAGGAGAAAAAGGAGGGCATAATGAGCGGCAGGGATTTAAAAGCTAATTAAACTTCGCTGGGAGGGTCACTACTCGTCTTAGCTAAGTAGAACAATTTACGGTAAGTCGAAGAGGAGCGTAGCAGCAAGCAACTTGGCGAGGGAGATCGAGAGGAAGGAAATCTCGCAACCGCTCTCGCAGGAAGTCCGATAAATACGAGGCAAAGATAGATCATAGATAGTCGGAGCTTCGTTGAATGAAAACCAGACATAAAATTAAGTACGCAATAATAAAAGTAAATTTAACGATAACAATGCCATTGGATAATAATAATGCCTGATATAATATTACTTCATGTAATAATATTTTTAAATTAGCGAAAATGCGAAAATTTCTACTGAAACGACATTTTCTATTATATTTGATACTTTTCATGCGTCATTAGAATTATATTCTCTTTTCACTAAAGTCTATCGAAGCGTTAGCGCATAAATAACAATATATAATAAAGAGTCATAATACTCCAAACCACTATGTGCAAAAGATTTTTTTTTTTCTTTAC